TGTTAGATTTTACAAGCAGGTTACACAAAGTACCCGCAGTCTGTGTGAGTGTGACCATCGAGCAAGGTTACACCCCTAAACCCAAAAATGGCCCCAAATGGCCACATATACAGTGGATTGTAGATTGTGCTCGAACATAAAAGCTTGTAGACTAGTCCGTCATACTATTACATTCGCTTCATATCAAACTTGGGCTAATGAAGAAATCCGTTCAAGCCCTAAACAAAGAATGTGAATGCTTTCAGTTCGTGCCATCGATTCCATGACATCAGAAATGTCAAAATCGAAGAGGGTATCTTCACTGGTACATATATCAAAAAACGTCTAACTGATGCTAATTTTCTTGACTAAACGTCTAACTGACGCTGTAGAACGATCAGCATGAAAATCATTCCGAGATGTGGTCAAACCTGTCTTAGTAACAGAAGGGGTTCAGACTACAAACAAATGATAAATAGAATGCTCGTTTCTTTCCAAGGTTTAGGTAACAAAATTAGCTTAAAAGTGTGCTTGTTACATTCACATCTGGACTATTTCTCAGAGAATTTAGGAATAATGAGCGAAGAGCATGGAGGAAGATTTTACCACGGTCTAAAGTAATTGGAACGCAGATATCAAGGGAAATGGAATAAAAACATACTCGCAGATTAGTGTTGATTACTAAAGAAGAAGATCCAACTGCATCTCGCCCGCGAAAAGCAAGGCAAAGAAGACTCTTTAACTTAGTTAAGACGTTATAAAATTGAAATAATGATCTTACCATTATCAATAAATTATGAGGCATTTAGTCCGTTTCACCTTTTGTTCTTCAAATAAGTATATGCAATGCATTACATATTATTAAGTTTTATATATATATATATATATATATATATATATATATAACATAAAAATTGTGTTTAAAGGAGTAAAAATAATAAGAAGCATTTCTTATATATGATAATAAATTATTTGTAAACTTGCCTGTGCGCGTGACTCATATTTCTCGTATTTTGATTTTTTCGTAAAACCTGATGTGATAGAGAAAAATGGACTTGAGATCCGGAATCATTATGTCGGAAATATAAATTATCACCATTTAAATAGTATGCAATGATCGGAAAGTTTAAATTCGCAGGCCAGTTAGATAAAAGATGGAATGGGATTTGTAAACTTTTTTCGGGATGACTCCTAAAAATGTTGAAAAACTTTTGCAAATGGTTGGGCCGCAGCTGTTTAAAGAAAGCATATAATTAGAAAATACAAAATAGCACGTCGGTTTGGATGGAAGAGAAGAATTTGGAGGTCAAGAGTTATTTATATTTTTAAATAATATGAGAGTTTTTAATCAAGAGTATCAGTTTAATTATTTTATGTATTATTTATTGAGTTTTATATTTTGAAAGTTTATTTTTATTAGTTATTTTAATTTGTAGTGATAATTAGATATTTTTAACTTAAATAGATTATATGTAGAGTATAACATTGAAGATGTTCTGGAGATAATTGATCTTTAGGTAGTTGTATGATTAATTGAAACCAAAAAGAGGTATTGACTTATATAATTAGATCGTTTGCTTCATATGGAGGTTTAAATATTGCATTGGGAATCACAGCGTCAACTGATGTCACTGCAGTGCCTCTGATCAGAAGGTCCCGTTGTTTGAGTCCCGACGGTGGCAGGATTTTCAACTCAAGCCAGATAGCTAGTTCGAGATCTGTCGGGGTGTGGAGGGGAATTCTAGCGGCCGGCTGCTCTGATCGGTAATTTTTCATAGTTTCTTCGATCAACACCAGGTGAATGCCGAAGCGTTGCCTACCCCTTACTCACACTTACACTTGCATGCACTACACTACCACACATGTCGGGAGACCGGCCGGGAGCTTAGAGCTTGCTCCGGCTGGGGCGGTGCACCGCTGATGGGAGATACCTGGTTGGCGGACACCTCGTTAGTAGGTGAGCGCCGTATCTCGCCATCCTCCCAAAAATATACTACACTTATGGGACAAATTATCTTAGCAGTTGACGTTACCGAAAGTACTTCTAAATCGATCAATTGATGGAAATGCGGGGCTGAATCTGAACACTGATCCGAAACAATGACGTACTACTTTGATTCCAAGTGTGGACTAGGCTTTAGAGGCAAAGTACAGTAAAGGTAAATACAGGTAATGTCGGTTCCTCAATAGAATACATTCATACAAGAATAGATACTATGTAAGTTTTTATTCATGCTGTGACGTTATTTTATAAATGGGTACGGCGGCCTGCAGAAAGAGAATTTTCTTTTAAATACACGTGTGACGATTGAAAGAAAGGCAATATTGTAACATACTGGTCTTGTAGCTGATCAAACTTCCTTGATTATCTTCAAGTTTTATTTAAGATGTGGTGTTGAATAAGCCAAAATGTACTTTGATTTTTAGAAAAGAAACAGAAACGTACTTAGCCACGTAAAAATAGAGCACTTTCAGAAGAATGTCGTCTTTGTTGCTTTGCTTCTCCATTAGACTGTTTTAGTAAGTTTTTATGTATAACTTTAAAATCTCACGCGTAAAGAAAGCTTAAAAAGTATTTGTAATTTCGTTCTTTTCGAAAATGGAGGTACTCGTAGTATCAATACCACAGAATTGATAGTACTCTGAACTATTGCAAAACGTGAGAGGTTTTGAAACTTTTACTGACATTTGGTATCATTATCATTTTTTTACCTGTCAGTCAGTCTAATTTTTTTTAATACTTTTCTCGACATTTCCGTGAAAGATAAACATACTTTTCTTTGTACCACAGTGAGATTAAGAGCGCTGGTAGTCTGGCATCGTATAAATAGACATAATACGTCGTGGAGAAGCATTCTAACTTCAACCATGATGAGGATGCTCACTTACTGTTTGCTGATGCTTGGATTTTTGGTAAGTTTAATGCTTTACGCCTTTTCTATGGCGAAGAATTCAGGTCTTTCTGTCACAAAAATTTTATGACTTCCTCAGGATTTAAACTCGCAAACATATTATTTTATGAAGGGCTTATCGTCTATAACATGGATTTTTTGTTTAGACCTGTAAAATAATAAAGTTGATGGTCTGAATACAACGCAAATATGCTTCCATTTGTAATAGAATTATACTAAATAATCCCTTTCGTATTATTTAGAAGCAACATCATTCATTGAAGTTTATCTTGAATTATTAACGGTATTCATACTTTGTTGATATATTTGCATATTGTTATAATTCAGACAAATAAAATGAGGTAAAGGAAATCGATTTCGAGATTTCAACGGAAATATACGTTTTAGGGTCTCTCGATACCGAAAATAGTGTTGTTTCTTGCAAAATGCCCGTCCGTCCATCCGTCTGTCCTCTGTGAACAACACTAGCGCCTAAATACGCGTAGGATTTTACGTTTTCGCTACCGTTTACGCAGTAGAGAGAAAGTTATGTAATGCTGCGCGAGAAAACGGAGAATTATCGTCAGGAAAACTTATTACAGGGCTCTGGTAATGAAAAGTGGATAAATCCATATGCTAAATTTAGAAGAAATCCTCTAACACGTGGTGTAGCCAGAATCCTTGTTTTGTAGGTCCTTGTAACCGAAAAATGAACCGACGGCAAAACGTCTTTTGGACCGTTGTTGGGTAATGTGTAGGGCGTTAAGAGAATAGCTTAGGTCTCATTTTCATTGAAAACTCTAATTTTTCTAAAGTTCCAAAAGTTTAAAAAAAATTTCGTCTTCCTACAAATACAATTAAGAAGATAAGATTTTTCCCTCAATGAAATTTGTTCCTTAAATATAGATTTTGAAATAAGATCAAGTATAATTTTTGGAAAATTTGAGTACTTTCTTTGTAATTTTGTGAGAAAGTACATGCTGTTTTAGCACCACTAGTTTTTTATTAGAAATTATTTAATGGTAATTTGTTTGACATTTTAACATTTTTTACTCTCACGTCGTTAATATTTACATTTTTATATTATGATTTGTATACATTATTGCATTTATTATTACATGTTATTGGAATGATGTCTGATGAAAGTTCTCGAAAACTCAAAAGTTTTTTTGTGAAAATGAGCTCAACATTCCACACTTTAAAAAGAACACCATTTTCTCAAAAACAGACTCAAATTTTTTCATTAAATTGTTTGAACAAATAGTGCTAAATGCATTGTATAAGATGACACAAAAGCCTTTTTGTCGCCTTCTTTTGTTGTTGTTTTTTCAAAAACATCGCAAATATATTTTTTAAATATATCTCTTGTCGATAATATGCACATTTCCAGCAATTTGTATACATAATTGCATTTGTGAGTAGAAGTGACTTTCAATAAAATTTTTCGAAAGCTAGAAAGTTTTTGTGAAAAAGAGTTTTTAATTTCGTATTCACAGTAACGCTTAAACATTTTCTTAAAAACCGCTCCACATTTTACAACAAAAATTTCTATGGAGGATGAGTTTTTATTATTCTGTAATATTCTTAAAGTAATATTTCGGTTTTACCATTAGGAAAAAAACAACAGAAAATTTGAAAAAAATTACTTAAGCAGTGATAGTTGGCATCTTGGAAGAGCATGGGGCAAGACCGAAAAAGTAGCCTAAATCAAAGAAATTCGGAAACTAACTAGTACTATTCCATTCTTTAGCTCCACTAGTTATTATTTCATTCAGTATTTATTCACTTGAAGAAATAAACACACTGTTTCGTACGATTACTTACGTTTCAAAAATTATAAATGATTTTGTAGGCTTTGAAGGTATCTCTGAAACCGATACGAAATTAAATTCTTTAGACATCTTTTCAACCCTCTTAACGGTGTTATCGAACATTTCAAAATAATTAATTGTTATACTGTAAAATAAAATTACTTTACAATTAACAACATCAAAGCCAACTCTATTGTTTAATTATGTACTCTTAACAATAACAGTCAAACTATGTCTACAACTAAATAAAAATACTAGAAATATGATTTAAGTATAATTTGTTGGTAGCTCACTACAGTAATAATTAATTTCGTTGCAGGCAATGGCTCTGACGAGTGCTCAGGAATTAACGATGGTAAGTATTAGGTATTTCTTTTCAAACCAACGCTTAAATATATCTTGCATATTTCATTTTTATAATGAACTAGTGGACTGATGCAACAAAAAATGCCGCTAAACTAAACCATACAAAGTGATTTTCCAAAAAGTAGCACGCACACTGCTCAGGAACAATAAATAAAATAGCCTTGTTGCATAACACCTGTGTTGTTAGCAGTGACGTATTGAATATGAGAATTCAGACGATAAGCACAGTATGAGAGTATTTAGCATAGCATAATCAAGTGAGAGCGTAGGCTTCCACGGCCGGAGACAGTATTTAATTGGCTGTCCGCGTGACGCCGCGTCCATGGCAAAGGTGCCGACGTTTCAGTCGCCTTTCTGTGTCCTTCCTCAGAGCGTAATGCCTCAGTTACATTAGGCTACTATAACTAAACCAATTACTATTTCATGTAGAACACATGTATGCATTCATGCCGTTTTACGTCAATATCAAACATCCGTCAGAAAGAAGGCGTTTACTAAACATGTAATATTTCTCTCTTGTACTACTCTTAATACATTCTTGCCTAGACGCAACTAAAATCAAAATCCAAATAAATTTTATAAATAGAATAGAGAAAAACTGAGAATCGTTTCGGTTTAGACAATTTACAATAAAAATGAACAGTTCTCCACATACGCAATTCTGCGCATTGATGAACTGAATCGTAGATATCAGTCGTGGCGCGTAGCTAAACAATAGCTAATCCTCTGGTGGCGCGTAGCTAAACAATAGCATATTGATGCATTCTTGAATCTCTGATATATTGCTAGGAGTAAAATTGTCCAGAAAAGTAATTAATTTGTAAATATATGATGGTTTATGATTGTAATTAATAGCCTATAGGACTCCTGACCTTCAAAGGAAGCTAGCACAAAAGTTTCATCGATGTTGTTCCCGTACATTCAGAGATTATCGCACTGTAATGACATGCTCTTGTGTCTTTATGTATTAGTAACAATATAAGATGAAGATTAGACCATATAACTGTACCACTTTTACAAATAAGAGAGAAAAGTGAGATTATATCTGAAGTAGCCACTACATTTGTGAACTCTCCATTATGGGAGAAATGTTACTGAAGACTTTTTAAAAATGATTGTTTTTTTTCAGCCGCCGCAGGAAATGAGACAATCGGTTTGGGAACCAGCGCAGGGAAGAAAACCTTTTTGAACAACTTGAATGGATTTAACCAGAAGGATAAGATGGCTAAAATGGAAAATTATGAATCACTTAAAAAGCAATGAAAATTGTTTAATCTTATAATTCGAATAAAAGCCATGAACACATGAAATGTTCTTTTACTAACCTCCAGGCGATGTGCAAGTTCTGTTTTCATTACATTCAATGCCTATATTTTTAATCTGAATGTTAAAATACCTTGTTTTTGTAAATCAGTTTTGAAGTATTTATTCGCTTTAAGGCTAAATGTCCCGACACTATTACAATTTGTAGCCACCACGTGGCAGCACCAAAATAACTAAAATTTACTTTACCGATAACGTCTGAAACAATGGTCCGATTTTCGATCTGTAAACATTTGACGCCTTTTTGAAATAGAATTTACGCTACGATAACCTTTTCCCAAAAATCTAACAAAAAAGCGAATTTGAAATTAGTTCTCAAACTTCCGAGAACAAATTTTAAGATGTGGCCTTATAGCGCGATGGCGACATGCTTCCTGAATCCAACGCCGTGACAATCATGCAAATCGGACGAATAGGAGCGTCGTAAAGTGAAATTTACGAAAACACCTCGTCCTCCCACTTCTTCTGCGCCGTTGCGTGACCCACCCGCCCGTTGTGGGTCCTCTGTCAGCGCGGTGGCCCGGCCAGGCCCAGCGGGTAAAGCGGTGCTCCGTCTAAGATTAATTTTTAGTTCTGCAAATAATTCAGCAATTAAAAAATAACAGTATCCTTTTTCGGCTTTATGGTTACTGGCGTGCGATGACGCAGTTATGCTCCTATTAACAAATAACGGAGTTGACACCCTTATGATCATCTTCTTCTCCTCTACTTCAAGGATGGGTTCATGACCTGTTCTGGCTTCTACCAATTTCATTTCTATAACGATCTGCCTCTCTGTCTTCTACCTCGCGTTCTACACATAAACGCTTGCTTTAGAATGCGTGTCTGTCCCATGTATCGAAGTCATTCCTCCCTTCACTCCCTGCAGTCAGAAAGATAGTATTTTGCCATTGATTGCTTGAACAATTAATTTTCATCTTATTTCGCGTCGCGCTTCTGGCCTGTAGTCCTATGGCGAGAGAGTCAACTCACATAGTCGAGGCTTGCGAGCACAACCGCATGGGTGGACAAATGAGCATTAGCACAAAGATTTCATTATTTATCGAATCCCGCCAAGCGATTATCGCCGCTAACTTATATACAGCTACTTCACGTGACAGTGCCTCCCGCGCTGGAGAATGACCCGTCGGCAAACACATTCGTTAATTTGTTTTGGCCGTGTACAACGAATTCCGCTGACTAGGTCCATTCCGAGAGTTGCGCCCAGACTAACGCCCGCTCTCGGGCACTTGAACCGCAACACCTGCACTTCCCAACCGTTTGCTCCGTGTGCGGACCGTGTCATTATATAACTATTCAATTATAATTAATCTAAAAATATAGGAATATTTTGTTTCTCTACGAAAATCTCAATGTGTGTTTGTGTGAGAGTGTGTGTGTGTGTTATTTGCCTGTAATAGATCGAAAATGAAAACTGTAATAATTATTTACGAAATATGTAACATAATTTCATCCATTACTTTACGAGATCAAATCGTACAAAGAGAAAAATCAAAATTGTAGGAAGATAAACCATGGAACTCTACAATATATCGATGACGCAGAAATCCTGGTGTCAGCGTGATTATCCCTTCTCCCTTGCGGTCGAGCAAGCAGTATATTTTCTGGAAGTTTTGGATTTTTTTCATCTAGATCTACCTCTGTTAAACCGGTTATATTATTTTAAAAATATTTAAAATGACCAACTGGCCACATGTCATACTTTTCAAGAAGTGCGTATAATGTTTTTCCGTCAATGCCATCACTTTGGTCTTTGTATTTGAAATGTTTAAACAATATCCTTTGTGATTTTGATAAAATTAATAAACAGACTTTGCAAATTGTCTTATCTTTTAGGATCAAAATTATATTTGTATGAAAGTTCATAAATATCACGCAATGACATTTCAGTCATTTAGGAATGTGCCGCACATTTTTCCAGCATGATATCTTCAGATGCAAAAAGATGACCAACAGTGAGAACTGTTAGGTTGCTATAAATAATCTAGTAACTACATGATATAGTTACTATAGGGAAAAGTGAATGAGAAACGAAATAAAAGAAAGTTTATAATTCTATCTAAAGATGAAAGAATTCGTGCACACACAGGGAGTGACAGACTGACTGACAGACGGCCGGAGTGACTGACGGACGGAGTGACTAACGGATGGACGGACTGATGGATGGACGGACTGACAGTCAAAGCAGTCAAAGCAGTCAAAACAGTCAAAACAGTCAAAACAGTCAAAACAGTCAAAACAGTCAAAACAGTCAAAACAGTCAAAACAGTCAAAAACGTACAAAACAGTCCAAAAACAGTCCACAACAGTCAAAAACAGTCAAAACAGTCAAAACAAGTCAAAACAGTCCAAAACATCCAAAAACAGTCAAACAGTCAAAAACCAGTCAAAAACAGTCAAAACAGTCAAAACAGTCAAAACAGTCAAAACAGTCAAAACAGTCAAAAAGTCAAAACAGTCAAAACAGTCAAAACAGTCAAAACAGTCAAACAGTCAAACAGTTCAAAACAGTCAAACAGTCAAAACAGTCAAAAACAGTCAAAACAGTCAAACAGTCAAAACAGTCAAAACAGTCCAAAACAAGTCCAAACAGTCAAAACAGTCAAAACAGTCAACACAGTCAAAACAGTCAAAACAGTCAAAACAGTGCAAAACAGTCCAAAACACGTCAAAACAGTCAAAAAGTCAAAAAACAGGTCCAAAACAGTCAACAGTCCAAAACAGTCAAAAGTCAAAACAGTCAAAACAGTCAAAACAAGTCAAAAACAGTCAAAACAGTCCAAAACAGTCAAAACAGTCAAAACAGTCAAACAGTCAAAACATCAAAACACTCACCACCCACGCTCACACAACAGTGCAAAACAGGTCCAAAAACAGTCAAAGACAGTCAAATCAGCGAGACCAAAACAGTCAAACTCTAGAGTCGCAGAACAAGTGCTCAAACACACGAAGTCAAAACAGTCAACCACACTCTAAAACAGTCCAAGAACACGTTGAAGACAGTCACAGAGACAACTACTCTATGTTAAATACCAAGAGGCACCACACGTCGGAGAGAGCAGTCAAACAGTCAAAACAGTCAAAACAGTCAAAAACAGTCTCTATATATCTTGTTTCTCTCTATATATTATGTCAAAACAGTCCAAAACAGTCAAAACAGTCAAAACTAGTCAAAAACAAGTCCAAAACAGTCAAAAACAGTCAAAACAGTCAAACAGTAAAACCAGTCAAAACAGTCCAAAACCAGGTCAAAAGACAGTCAAAACAGTCAAAACAGTCAAAACAGTCAAAACAATCCAAAACAGTCAAACCAGTCAAAACAGTCAAAACAGTCCCATAAACAGTCAAAACAGTGGCAATAGAGAGTGCAAACAGTCAAACAGTCAAAAAACAGTCAAAAACATGTGCAAAACTGCCAAAACTGCCAAAACACCGAACAGGTCAAAACAGTAAAAACAGCCAAAACCAGACAAAATAAGTCAAAATAGTTATAATACTCAGGATAGTCAGATCGACTTGTTGGACGGATCCGTCAGTTGATCGACTTGCCCTGGTCGTCCCCCACTTGAATCGACGTGCGCTGTGTCGATCCCAAACGCACTTGAATTACTTGCTGTGTCGATCCCGCAATTGATCCGACTTGTTGGTCGATCTCCCACTTGATCGACCTTGCTGTGTCGATCCCCCAACTTGATCGACTTGCTGGGTCCCGATCGCCACTTGATCGACTTGTTGGTCGATCTCCCACTTGATCGACTTGCTGGGTCGTATACCGCCACTTTGATGGACTTGCTGGGTCGATCCCGCTACTTGATCGACTTGCTGGGGTCGGTCCCACGTGATCGAAATAAGGTGGGTCGAATCCCCATAAGATGCGACTTGCTCGGTCCAATCTGCCACTTGATTCGACTTGGCGTGTCGATCCCCCAACGTTGTCGACTTGTTTGGGATCCGATTCCGCACTTGGTCCACTTGGTGGGTCGATCCCCCATATGACGAGTTTGCTCGTCGAATCTGCACTTGATCGACTTACTGGGTCGATCCCCCACTTGATCAACTTGCAAGGGTCGATCCCCCACATGATCGACTTGCTGGTCGATCCACGCACATGATCGAACTTGCTGGGTTTGATCTTCCACTTAGGTTATGGTTGGCTCACAAGTATCATAAGTTGGCTTTACAAGGATCCACGGTAGCTTAAACAAAGGATCATTGTTGGGTCCAACAAGGATATTGGTTGCTCAACAAGAATTGGTTGGGGTCAAACAAGGATAATGATTGCTTATACATGGATAATAGTTGGGCTTGCAACCAGGGTTCATAGTTCGTTCAACAAGAAAATAATTGGTTTTGGGCTCAACAAGGATATGGGTTGGGCTCAAGAAGGTTATTTTGGTTGCTCAACTAATATAATTGGTTGGCTCAAGAAGATCATGGTTGGCTTAACAAGGATCAATGGTTGTCCCTGAACAGATGATTCTTTGATTGGCTCAAAAGGGTATTGGTTGATCAAGCAAGAATCATGATTGGCTTAATCAAGAATCATGGTTGGCAAAGAAGACTCCCCGTTTCCTGCAAATTTAAAACATGCACTGGCCATTAAAAGAAATAAATCACCATACATCAAAGCTCTCTAATAAATGAACCTTTTAGATTAGTGTGGTGGAAATGCTTTAAGAAACATTGTTCGAATTTTAAATCGTAAACTCTAAAGACAACTTAGATGTTCAAAGAAATTGTTGACATGCCAAAACCGAAACTATAATGAAAAACAGTAGAAAATTATCGTTCATTTACTACTTATTGGACATTCTGGACATTATAAAATGTTAACTCAAATGTTCAATATTTCTTGCGCCTAGTGTAAGCTACGAACATTTCCATCCACGACAAAAACACATTCCTCTCCGGCACAAAATAGAGACCGACAGACATAGCGCACACAGATCGACAGACACAGGCACACAGACCGACAGACAACACAGCC